GGTATCTTACCCTTCAGAAAACTTCATGTCCAAGTCCAGCTGAGACGCCATTGTTGTAAACGGTGCGGGAAGGTCGGTGATCGTGTTCATGAAGAAGTCGTACAGCTCTAAACAGACTTGCGCCCACTGACGACAACTGGGAACCTGAATATAATGGATTGAAAAAGCTCTTATAAATAATAGAAACTGAGATCGAAGGTGGAGTGTTCTGTCATCGCCATCAACAACGAGACCATCGACGATACGACAATTACCACCATTACCATAATCAACATCACACAGCAGACCTTCTCGTCAGCTAATGATACTGTCCATCACGCACATACAGTGGACTCATTAATCCGACCACCGAAAGAACATCGAAAAGTGACCGTATGAACGGGGCTGTCGCATTAAAAGGGCAGTAGCCGGGACATAAACATCTGAGCGTTAGAACAGGGTGTATGCATTTAGCAGATGGGGTTCCACTCCGCACAATCAAAATACATAATACTGCATACTTACAACCATGCATTAAATCAGCGATAATCATCATCATCTGCTGGAACATCAAAACAATCATCATCATCTTTACCTCAACATGTGTGCCTCGACGCCCATCAGCCACGCCGTCCCGTGATGCATCGCCCGTCATCAGGTTGTCAATCTGTTGTTTTAAATAATCTTTGAACAGGACATCCTCTACTGAACTGTCGTTGAATACATCTTTAGGAAGTGGTTTTCCTGGTTTAAATATTCCTTTCTCTTTAAGCAGCATACTCGATTCAGCTATTGAAACAAGGAAAAAACTGTAGTTTAGCCTGGTGTAGCTTAAATTTCGACCCCCTCCCCCTTAGGGAGACTACGCAGAATAAATATGGAAATGTTGTTAATCCGCTAAGACCGATATAAGAATTATTGGATATTACAAAAAGGTAGAAACAAACTGGAATTAATTCCTTGAGGTGCTAATTTATTTTGGATAATCATCACGAAATATATGTTACTTACCGGCTATAGGTTGGTCCGTATAGATATTTTATTTACCGGCTGGGAGGTCCGTATAGGAAAACACTGCCCGAGGTCTTGACAGTACAGAACGAGCGCAGCGAGGTCCGTACATAAAAGACCGAGGGCAGTGTTTTCCTATATGGACCGACCTATAGCCGGTAAATAACATTTTTATTTTTTATTTGTATTTATCGGTATCCTAGTAATTCGCGCGCTGTGATTGGCCAGCGCGCAGTCCGGTTTTTCACGATCTGCCCGGTCCGACGGTATCCTGCAGCTAGGATACGAGCAAAGTTGAATAAAATACAAATAAAAAAATAAGAATATTATTTACCAGCTATAGGTTCCTATACGGACCTCCAAGCCGTTAAATAACACATATATATATCCCCCCCCCACCCCTCCTGATAAATATTGCACAGTCCCTAACCGGCGAAATAAATCACGCTCTTGAACCAATCAGAACGCACGTACTACATGTATTACATTTACATCATAATTTATATCTGAACGTTATGTATTATACAGAGTGGTTTATATTATTGTGGTTTCCTTCTTGTAATTTCTTCCTTAATTAATTCGCAGTTTTGTGTATTGATTCTCGTCCGGCTTCTCTTCTTTCCGTTACATTTCGTCAGGCCGTTTCTACGGTAACTTCCAACAACAGAACCAAACAGAAACTTTAACGGTTTCTGATTGGTGGGTAGATTGGATGGTGCACAGGGGGATCTCATACCCCCATTCGAGTTTCTTTATTCCGCTTGAAACAATAGTCTACCAACTTCGATTAAACCCTACTGTTTTATTATTAGATTCAGATGTATTCATTAAGGGCTGAAAGAATTTCAAGACAATTTCCACAAGAAGGTATAGTTGCACATAAAATTAAGTCCGTGTACAGTAAAAATCCAAAACTTACGCATAGTTTTTAACGATATGTATTTGGCTCGTTACCGGTATGTTATTTTACTTTGCGTAAATTATTATTTCATAGCATGATGGCGTTCTTATTCATCGCTTTTGTTTAACATTAAAAATTCAATGAATACTTTTTTTGGTAGAAAGACGGCGGAATGTATTGCCCTTACTCCCTTATATGGCTTTTATAAGGTACAACACTGTGTGATGCGAAAAAATACCTATGCACTGAATTTTTCTTTTCTAGATCAATCTTACAAGCTGGAAAGTTATTTACAAAACACACTATTGTATAAACAGTCATGGATCCACGAACACCTGACCTTGCTGTGTTCCAGCTTTGGAAGATGATGAAACACCCTCAACAAAATAACGATGACAGCAATACCGTAATCATAGAGCAATACTAACAACTGTTATGGCAACTGATTTGACCAAATTGTGAAACAAAGCTACCTGAACTGGAAGCATGGCTTCTGGTGGACAGCGTCCAAATTCAGGTCCAGACACCAAGCATTACGACACANCATCTAAGAAACAGGAGACCTTAAAGGCCATAGGACATGTGTTCCTCTACAACAAGCTGGCATCTCCAGGTGCACTGATAACTACCTTCTCGTTTCCAGCAATGGATACCGAGGACTATGAAGGAATCGATTTATGTCAATTGGCGAAAGGATATTTGAAATTCCGTCTCAAGAACACCAYTGAACATCCTTCAGATCTTGAAGARTTCGTTGACTCGAGGTCGGATGAGGAAAACTACAGCGACTACATAACCTACCAAGTTATCGATACAGCATACATGTACATCCCCGCTCTAAGAATGCTTTCTTCAAATTCCAGATACAGAAAATCACTTTGGCAGCAATTGTTTGTAGAAGAACAACTTATTTTCAAGGACATGGAAACAATTGATAAACACTCCTCGAGTTTTCTATTGCAGCTGTGGAAGCATATGAAAAAATGTGAGAAAAACCCATTGTGTAAATCCTGGGTTAAGGAATTATTCCCAGTAAATCCAAACAACAAACCGCTGATACACTTCATAATAACACATCTCCTTCCTTATACCATTGACCTTCTCAAGAAGTACTCAAGCGAGAAGGTCAAAGACTTGTTGGTGACACTTTGTGGTGATTATTTTCAAGACCAAAACGAGGGTGTCCAAGAAATTAATATCGAATCATCTCATTGCTTTGCAACAATGGTTATCTATCTCCTATACGGGCAAATGGCTTCTCCGTCATTTATTGTGTCAGACAAACTTTTGCGCTTGAAATACCCTTCAAGTGGAGTATCGGACTCGGACCCTTCTCATCGAAGGCAGATGCTTTCCGATGTCTTCATTTTTGATAAGTGCCAGTATTCCTTTATACAGCTAAATTCTCCGGACTTGGCATACAAAAAACTCGAAGATAAAACAAACATTTGGATAATTAAAACTAACATTAAATGCCTGAGTAAGAAACTAGCATTTATTTACAATGATGTTTTTAAGTGCTGCCAGTCTACGACATCAGATGAGTCAATGGGAATTCCAAAGAGGGAAAACATAAGGATTCTTCTTCTCAAAAGAGAGGGAGAATCCTTAATCACCGAATCAAGGTTTGAAGAGGCCTTACTAAAGTTCAATGAATGCCTTACAATCGATAAGAACGATGAGGAAATCAAGAAGTACGTTGACGCTTGTCAAAGATATGCCGCGCCTCGCGAGCCGTATGCCTAGCCAACAGAAGGCAGCCAGGAACAGCTAGCAACACAGGATGTGTAAGTCATTGCCACAAAGAGATGGCCCTTCTTCCTAATCCGATAGTCAGCGTAACACAAGACAAAGGTCCATAATCCTCCATACTAGCACACAAGATCTATCTTAACCAAGCTTCCTTGGAAGACCTAAACATATTGGATACATGATGTTCGCCACATGACTTTGTCTCCCTTTAAGTTATTTCAATCATTCAGATATCTGTNAACTGTTATGGCAACTGATTTGACCAAATTGTGAAACAAAGCTATCTGAACTGGAAGCATGGCTTCTGGTGGACAGCGTCCAAATTCAGGTCCAGACACCAAGCATTACGACACAGCTGAAAAGCGAGAATGTCGAGAGACACTTACCAAACACGCTGTAGAATGTCTTACAACAGCAAGAAAAACGTCAACTTGTGTCCAACGACACCAAGTGCGAGAAGCTTGGGACAAGTTCGAAAAAAGTGGAGAAGCAAAACGTTCGTTCAATGATGAAGAAGTGATACAAATAAAAGATGAAATTAGAGAATGGGAACTCTTTCATGACAGTCAAACGAAAGAGAAGAAACCCTCCGATCTTCGTGTGTGCTACATCGCTGGTGAAAACCCTCTCAATGAACTCAATGTGTTTATCAAAAATGGTATCCTTAGCCAGAACATTTGCGTCATTGTGAAGAACAGTGAAGCCATTGAAAATGTATGGGAGGTTGCCATGGATTCTCGCAGTGCCAGAAAAGTCCAACTTTTCAAGGGTACTTTTCTTGAGTGTATGAAAGAAACTGAAGGTCAATTTGATATAATTTCCTTTGATTCTACTGATTCATTGCCATCTCAGGAGCACGTCATTTTAAATGCTATAGGACATGTATTCCTCTACAACAAGCTGGCATCTCCAGGAGCACTGATCACTACCTTCTCGGTTCCACCAGAGGATACCAAGGAAAACTACAGTGACTACATATTCTACCAAGTTATTGATACACCAAATGTGTACATTCCCACTCTTAGAAGACTGATTTCGTTAAGTTCCCAAAATAATAATCCATTTGGGGAACAATCAATTGAGAGAAAAGAGTGTTCCACAGAAAAGGTGAAGAATCTCAATCCATCATCTGAACCTCCCCAGAAATCTCATGAGAACGCATCTTTTAAAGCATGGCAAAATCTTCCGCATGGCCTTGATACTTCCACTGACGTTGTTCTTCCTCGCCACTGGACACAAATGGTTTCATTTCTTCTGGCCGGGCAGATACATCATCCATCATATATCGTCCCAGAAAAACTTTTGCGATTGAAACGTGAAGGGCAGATGTTTTCTGATGTATTCATTTTTGACAACTGCCGGTATGTATTTCAGCAGTTTCCTTCTGTGAACTATGAGCACTCTGAAGTATTCCAATCAAAAAGGTTTTGGGTAGTCCAAACTATCGCCGAACGCCTGGCAAATAAACTAGGATTTATTTACAGAGATGACTTTGACTATTGCCAGTCTACGACATCAGATGAGCCAATAGAAATTCGAAAGAGGAAAGCCATAATTCTCACAAAAGGGTTAAAGTACTCAAAATCCATGATAAACTTCGATGAATACCTTAAAGAGCACACTGAGAAAATGAATAAATGCACACCAAATCGTCTAAGGATTGGTCCTCGCAAGCTGCCTTTTAGTCGGCAAGACAGCCTACGCAAGTCGTGTCCGGAAAGAGGTCGTCAACATCGGTTAAGATGGTCAGGTAAAGAGTCAGGTCCTATAACCCTGGAAACATTCGATCCAATAGACCTAATCGGCTTCAACATTATTCAAATTATCCAGGGATAAGTTTCATTGCTCGTTGTATTTTCATTTCACAGTTGATTTCTTAGAAACAAAACTGTTCTTTTTCCCAAAAGATTTGAATTGGGTGGCAATGTACATAGCAATTAGGTCTGTTGAATCGTGGCTCAAAAAGTTTACATAAAGGGATCTTTGCAGAAAAGTTGATCGATTTGTATAATTCTTAGGCACTTAACGTGGGAGGGGGTGTCACTATTTTTTCTTGAGGTCTAAGAATGTTTTACTCAAAATTTCCAAACCGACTGGGTGATTTGAGAAAATGCGACTAGCCAATCAGCGCAAAGCTGACAAGCTTATGTTGTAAACATAACCCTCCGACGGGAGGAATTTGCTCAGCAAAACTCGACCCAGTGGAGTAGGCTGCCTTTCATTTTATTCTATCCGAAAAATCGAAGCTAAAACGCAAAGAGAAAGTGAAAATCTTTATAAAATAGCTTTTAAATGTCAATCAAATATTTATCGTTATAGAAATAGAATTTTATCTTAAANATCCTAGCTATTTCAATATCTTATAGTACTGATTAAATCATTGATTATTGTAAGTTTTAACGTAATTCAGCCCTTGGCTTCAATGTTTTACTAATAAACTATCTATCTATCTGATTATCATTATCAACATATATTTTCAGTTCATTGTAGTCGTTTCCGCCAACAACGCGGAGTGTATCCATAGTAACTTCCAACAACAGAAGCAAACAGAAACTTTAACGATTTCTTATTGGTGGTAGGTTGGATGGTGAACAGTGTGATATCATACCCCTATTCGAGTTTCTTTGGTTCCCTTGAAACAATAGACGTCCATACTTGATCATATCCCACCGTGTACTTATTAAATTCAGATGTACCAATTATGCAGAGAGCTTAAAGTATGTCAAAACATTTTCACAAGAAGGTATAGTTGCACATAAAAATAAGTCTAACTATCATAAAGAAAAAGAAATGTCCACAAATTCTAAATAGTTCTTATCGATATGTATTTGGCTCGGTATCGGTTTCTTATTTTGCTTTGTGCAAATTCTTATTTCACACCTTGATGGCGTTCTTATTCAGCGCTTTTAATAATGAAATTTGAATAATGAAAATTCGCTGAAACACTTTTGTTGGTAGATGTTCGCCTATATATGACTTTTAGTAGGTAAAAAATTGTGTAATGCGAAAGAAACCCCTCTGCACTGAATGTTTAATTTTAATATCATGTCTTTTCTAGATCAATCTTACATACTGGTAAGTTATTTACAAAACACATTAATGTTTTAACAGTCATGGATCCACGAACACCTGACATTGCTGTGTTCCAGCTTTAAAAGATGATGAAACAGCATCAACAAAATGACGATACACCAATACTGAATACCGTAACAGCTGTTATGGCAACTCATTGACCAAATTGTAAAGCAGAGCTAGCCGATTTGGAAGCATGGCTTTTGGTAGTCTGGTTTTAAATTCAGAATGTCCAAAAAGACTTATCAAACACACTGTAGAATGTCTTACAACAGGAAGAGCAACGTCAACTTGTGTCCAACGACACCATGTGAGAAAAGCTTGGGACAAGTTCGAACAAAGTGGAGAAGCACACCGTTCATTCAAAGATGAAGAAGTGATACAAATAAAAGATGAAATTAGAGATTGGGAACTCTTTCATGACAGTAAGACACAAAAGAAGAAACCCTCCGATCTTCGTGTGTGCTACCTCGCTGGTGAAAACCCTCTTAATGATCTCAATGTTTTTATCAAAAATGGTGTCCTTAGCCAGAACATTTGGGCCATCGAAAAAGACCCCAAGATTCAGAAAAAGGCAGAGATGGCTTTGACAAAGTCAGCCAAAACCATACATGTCCAGTTTGTCAAGGCTAATTTTATTGAGATCATGAAAGACGAGCAACAAGATAAATTTGATATAATTTACTTTGATGCATGTGGTTCATTACCATCTAAGAAACAGGAGACCTTAAAGGCCATAGGACATGTGTTCCTCTACAACAAGCTGGCATCTCCAGGTGCACTGATAACTACCTTCTCGTTTCCAGCAATGGATACCGAGGACTATGAAGGAATCGATTTATGTCAATTGGCGAAAGGATATTTGAAATTCCGTCTCAAGAACACCAYTGAACATCCTTCAGATCTTGAAGARTTCGTTGACTCGAGGTCGGATGAGGAAAACTACAGCGACTACATAACCTACCAAGTTATCGATACAGCATACATGTACATCCCCGCTCTAAGAATGCTTTCTTCAAATTCCAGATACAGAAAATCACTTTGGCAGCAATTGTTTCCAGAAGAAAAACGCATTTTCAAGGACGTGGAAACAATTGACAAACACTCCTCGAGTTTTGTATTGCAGATGTGGGAGCATATGATAGAATGTAAGGACCAAATGATTGAGTTTTTCACAGACGGTGTGAAGAATCTTGATCCATCAGCTGAACCTCCCCAGAATGCTCTATTGCACCTGTGGACAAACTCTCAGGAGAACCCATATTTCAAAGCAGGGCAAAATCCGCATGACCTTGCCGCAATGCTTTCATTTTTTCGGTACGGGAAGATAGCTCATCCATCATTTATCGTTCCAGAAAAACTCTTGCGCTTGAAACACCATGATTTACATGAAGGGCAGATGTTTTCTGATGTATTCATTTTTGACAACTGCCAGTATATGTTTCAGCAGTTACCTTCTGTGGACTATGAATATTCTGCAATCTTCCAACCAAAAACGTTTTGGGTAGTCCAAACTATCGCCGAATGCCTGGCAAATAAACTAGGATTTATATACAGAAATGACTTTGACTATTGCCAGTCTACAACATCAGATGAGCCAATAGAAGTTCCAGAGAGGAAACTCATAATTCTCACAAAAGATGACTTCATGACTGGGTTAAAGTACTCAAAATCCCTGCTAGACTTCAATGAATGCCTTGATAACACTGAGAATATGAATAAATACACACCAAATCATCTAAGGATTGGGCCTCGCAAGTCACCTTTCAGTCGGAAAGACAGCCTACGCAGGTCGTGTCCAGAAAGAGGTCCTCAACATCGGGTAAGATGGCTAGCTAAGGAGTTAGAAGCTATAATCCTGGAAACACTGGATCCAATTGAAAAGTGGCATAAACATTTTAAATAAATGGATCTTTGCAGAAAAGTTGATCGATTTGTATAACTGAATTCGGGGAAGGGCGTGTCACTATTTTTTTTCTAGAGATCTAAGAATTTTTTCCTCGAAATTTCCAAACCGAAGTAAGTGAAAGAAAAAAGAAAATAATTGTTTTCTATATTATTGCAATTTTTTTCGAATCAGTTTGTACAACACTAAGTGTCATGTTAGAATAATTTCTTTCATACTCACCCCATTGTGTTTTGATGGCTGGCATCGCTATTTTATTCAACAATATATGAACGGGATCAAATGATGACGTACTGGGCTCCACATGTACAAAGGCATGACCAGAACTTACTGTGAACAGTGAGCTAGAGCTACAAAATAGAAAATACAAATGTAGAAAATGCAAGCATGTAAAATCTATAAGTCAAAAAGAAACTTAAATAACTGATATATCCTTGTTAAATAATTCATAACATGCTTTTGATCATATATTACACTCATTAAATTTTTAATTTTATACCAATTTTAAAATTTTTACTTAAACCAGTTTTGAAAAATATTGTCCAATTTGATAGTGGTACAATTAAGTAAGTAAATTGCAAATAGTAATAATGACAAAAGAATCAATCAAACTAATTAGCATTGCCACGTGTCAATTTCCGGTTAGAAATAAAATGATCTTTTACTTGAAATTAAGTAAATGCAGACTGAAAAAAAACAGATTGTAATCAAATCAGTTTGTTTCTGCTCTAATTCTGTATTAATTTCTTTTTGCTGTTTTCAAGGAGGACATATTTTTTGAAACAGATGTATCAACTTTGTACATAGATTTCTAGATTTTTAGACATTATAGATTTCCTTTTATATATCTTTTTACAACTGTAAATATCTAATGTTTAACTCAAAAACTTGCTGGTTTTAGATATTAAGGATTAATAATCATTAGCACATCTGTACAACATATAAAATTGACAACGTTCATGCAAACAAAATTGCAAAATATTCAAAAATATGTAAAACGAATGTTAAATAAACAAAATCACATGCAAATGGGAGATCTTGAGCTGGGAAATTTTTTACTTAATTACTTAACTCAATACACTAGCCTATCTTTTGGACACACAAAGCCCTGGTACTCTGAGGTAGAGCTACTGGGGATGGTCCTCGGAGATTTTCAAATACACCCCTAAAAGATCCCGACCCCCTCCCAACCTTCCCCCAAGACAAAGTAACAACAGAGCAGTCAAGTATTGTCTTGGAATAATTTTTGAGAAGAGTCTTACTTGGACAAAAACTACTCACAAAGAACATCTGAGCTCATACAAACATGCAATAAAGAAGATAAAATAAAGAAAAATGTACAAGGACATGAAACTAGAATTTATTCATTCAATATCCTTACCTTAGGCTGCCTAATAATCTTGCTAGAATTACTTCATTCAATATCCTTACCTTAGGCTGCCTAATAATCTTGCTAGAATTACTTCATTCAATATCCTTACCTTAGGCTGCCTAATAATCTTGCTAGAATTACTTCATTCAATATCCTTACCTTAGGCTGCCTAATANTTAATATTTTTGGTACAAATCAACTGTCGTAGTTCATCCTTTGTCGCATTTTCGGCAATAAGCCGCAAGCGTGCTCGACAGGTCAGTTACACATTTACTAGCTTTGAACTTACTATACAACGAGAGCTAGAACGGTGACTGGGGTTTTTAGTGTAACGTCTTGATAGCGACTGTTTATGTCGAAACGACTCAAAACAAAATTCCATCGTGAAAAAAGTTCCCTTCTGAAAAACACGTGTGTATTTAAGGTGGAGAATGTTTCATATGAGCATTCCGATACTTAAAGGTTTATTTCTATAATCATTTTGTTTAGTTATGTAAATAAATTCAGCACGACTTGTACTGTTTGTCTGAATGAAAGGCGAGCTGCGGGTTTTCCCTTTTCTTTATTTACACTTTCAAATATGACCGCTTAACAAAAATGCACGGGCTCACTGGCTTACAACCTTGGCGAATTCATATGCAGGCCTGGTCGCAAATCAATCACCCAGGAATTAAGTGAAAGAAAAAAGAAAATAATTATTGTCTATCAGAAACCTATAAGGGACTTGAAACGTGTAACGACGTGCCAACCGTTGGAATATTTAAATCTAATTTGCCTTATTTGACCTTATTTGGAACAATTAAATTTACCCTATAGCCAACCAGAACGGGCCTTAAATCTCTTATCCAACGGCCGAATTTTCCAAATATGGTCATAACGTTCGTTTTCGAATTTTTAATGAGCTTTGAATATTCCGACGCTTGGTACTAAAGAAATGTATGGGTGTTACACGTTTCAAGTCCCTTATAGGTTTCTGTGTCTATATTATTGCATTTTTTCGAATCAGTTTGTACAACACTAAGTGTCATGTTAGAATAATTTCTTTTGTACTCACCCCATTGTGTTTTGATGGCTGGCATCGCAATTTTATTCAACAATATATGAACGGGATCAAATGATGACGTACTCGGCTCTACATGTACAAAGGCATGGCCAGAACTCACTGTGAACAGTGAGCTAGAGCTACAAATTAGAAAATACAAATGCACAAAAAGCAAACATGGAAAATCTGTAAGTCAAAAAGAAACTTAAAGAACTGAAACAAACCAGATTGTTTCTGATAAAATTCTTTACTAATTTCTTTTTGCTATTTTCAAGGAGCACAATATTTTTTGAAAACAGGTGTATCAACTTTATATATTGCACTGTATTATATCATATCATATTATTACTGATAGATTTTTAGACATTATAGATTTCCTTGTATAAATTCTTTTACAACTGTTTCTCATACTCATTAATTATTCATGAGGTATCCAGCCAATCCCTGGTTGTAATTTGTACCACATGAAGTAACTTGAAACCAGAGGAAGTACTCGTACCTTGTATTCTATCTTATTTCCAGTTACTTCTACCTTATTTCCAGTTACTTCTACCATATTTCCAACTACTACTAGCTAATGATAATCAAATTATTAGAAATAATCAGTTTAACATCAATTTAGTGAAAAAAGGTCTTTGATACATGACTCCCTCACGACTCGATCCTACCGTCCAGTCTATATGCACCGTCTTATACCATTACACCACCGAGTTTCTGATGCGATTCCTCGGAAGATAAACATACTTATAAATCTTATGAATTAGGCTCATTAGGAATGCCATGAATAGTAGACAAAGGCAATTTGAATAGCTTTTGTTTCAGAAAGCTGTCTGGGAATTGAAGAACAACAAACGGTGCTTCATGTATTCAAAATTATGAAAACTGAAAACCTTAGTGGAGATGCAATAAATCAATATATTTCTGTTATATGTATTTCCTTCACTTTTTCCCCCTCCCGAATAATTAATGAGTATGAGAAGTCGTTCGTTCAACGCCTCGGACTGGAACTAATTGCACGGACTTGAAATCCCGTCCAGTCCTCATTATCGGACTTTAAACATTACATCAAATATAGTAGTGTCTAATCAAAAACTTTCAATTTTATTATTTTTAGATTTTTGTAGATTTTTTGTATTATATATTTTCTTGTATAAATTCTTTTACAACTGTAAATATCTAGTAGTGTCTAACTAAAAAAGTGCAGCATCATGTAAACAAAATTGCAAAACATTTTAAAATATGTAAAACGATTGTGAAATAAACAAAATCATGTGCAATGGGAAATCTTGAGTTGGGGAATTTTTTACCTAACTATCAATACACTAGCCTATCTTTTGGACACAAAAAACCCTGGGGATGGGGGTAAGCTAGGGGGTGGGGACTTCAAGGTAAAGCTACTGGGTATGCTCACCAGAAATTTTCAAAAAGACCCCCAAAAGATCCCAGAAGTCTTGAAAAAGGGCGTGGCTGACTGATTTTTAACCCCTAAGGGATTGAACAAAGCAACAACAGTGCAGTCAAGTGAAAGGGACTGCTGATTCTTTTGTGCTCTCTTTGAATAATTTCTGAGAAGAGTCTTCCTTTGACAAAAACTAGTTACAAAGAGCATTCTAAGCTCATAAAAACATGCAAAAGAGGAGAAAATAAAGAAACAAGTACAAGGATATGAACCTAGAATTACCTCAGTCAATATCCTTACCTTAGGCTGCCTAATAATCTTGCTAGAATTACTTCATTCAATATCCTTACCTTAGGCTGCCTAATAATCTTGCTAGAATTACTTCATTCAATATCCTTACCTTAGGCTGCCTAATAGTCTTGCTAGAATTACTTCATTCAATATCCTTACCTTAGGCTGCCTAATAGTCTTGCTTTCCTCATTACATGGTAGATTTGATCTTGTAAGGAATTTTGAAGATTGCGCTGAGAATTATTAACCTATCAGACAAGAATAAATATTATTCATTCATTTATTCAGAACTTCATCAATCATTCCTACTTTTATCCCATTCATTTGTTCATTCATCCATTCTCCCATTCATTCCTTGTATTTCTTATTCTGAAATTCATTATTTCTGCCATTCATTTGTTCATCCATTCATTACTTTCATTATGTATTCATTTATTCATTCATCCATCCATTTTTTCATTCAGTTATGACGTTACCTGTGTTTTAACCTTTGCTCTGCTGGCATACGTGTCTTTATTCATTGTTGTCTGAAAGAGAAAACATCACAATACTTCATTATCATCAAAATTTCTAAAGATTTTCACCAAACCAAAAACAATGCTACTTACTTTTACAGTAGGGTCCAAAGCTGTGAATGGTACTACCTGGAAATACAGTGAATAACTTTAAGACAACTTGCTGCWTTTGACCACATGTCCCCACAATTTAATAAGTCAGGCTGATTTCCATGACAGAATTGTATTGTGACAGCCAATGATATATCTCAATCTCAAGGACCWAGGCTCAAAATCCTACCACATGTGATAGGGAGGCAAGCACACTGTGCGAGCAGCCTTTGCCTTTTCACCAATAGAATTTTTTAGGAGCTCATTACAATGGACAAATATAAAGACTCCACATACCTGTTTGAAGGAACATACAAGTCTTGGAATACAYGGCCTACCAGTCTGCCTCCAGATATCAGGCAGCCCATCAATGTTATTAAGACAATGTGATATTTGAGGCAACAATTGATGTCTAAAGAAAAGCGTTACAGTGACATTGATTAATTGGCCAAATATTTGTTGATTGTTCTTCTTGATTCTTTATTAATGATTATTAATATTAATTATGGGAAATGAACTGACCTTGCAGTTGCTAGYGTTCTAAATAGCCTGACGTAACCAAGATCAAAGGTAGGAGATGGATGAATCATCTAAAATTTATGATAAAGTTATAATTCATGGAGTATTGAGGGGGGAGTTGTGGGGAGGAGGGAGAGAATTGTGAGGTTGAGGGATGAATTGTAAGGTGAAGTGATAGGAAGGGACAAATTGTGATGGGGAGTGATGAATTGCAAGGGGGAGGGGGTCCAATGTGAGGGGGAGTGGGTGAATTGTGAGGAGGATGGAGAGAACTGTGAGGAGGAGGTTAGAAAGGGTGAGAGGGGAAAACGGAAAGCTGGACACTTACCACCATAATATGACAAACTGAGAATAAAAACAGCATGGAGCAAGCATGATAATACTCCTGGTATTTCCAGTAACGATGCGATTCCTGTCAAAGTGTTTAATCATAGTATGCATCACATTTATTTACAGTCTTTTGCACATCCATTCCACAAGCCAAGACAAAATTGATAACAAACAATAAGTTATTAGCAATGGACTACTGTCAGCCTTAAAATCAACTGTTTGTAGGCTAAAGCTTTTTTGATTAATTGACACTAATATGCTGCTAATCATACTGTATTATTGTATAGCTATATTGTGCAAAAAACAATATAAAGAAATAAAAAATCAGTAAAATGATGTATATAGAATAAAGAAAAATCACAATTGATATATAATCAAATATCAACTTAGAATAATACTCACTGAGCTTGAACATTCTCGTGGCGTTTGCTCACACAGAAGAGCAAGTCTCGAAGCATCAAATAGAGATACAAGATGMAGATATATAATTCTTTGTTCAACATCATGGTGGACTTCAATATCACACTATAATGCATGCATTAAAGAGATTTAGAAGTCTATCAAAATAACAATTGCTCCCTGACAACACTTAGTTATAGTACATTCACCACAGGAAGCCCAGAACGAATGTGAGAACCAACTAAATCTCCTAAAGAAATACAAGTCTGAATAACAAAGAAAATGTATGCAGAGTATTTTGGTGTTGAAATATAATAGCTACAATGTCCTATTACAAACCGGTAGTAGATCTTTTGGCGATTCTGCTTTATCAACGAAAYCAAGCTGTGAATGAAGTTCACATGATCAATGTAAATAGAAAAATAATCGAATAACTGCTGCAATACAGACACCAAATGTATATCTTGCTCCTATCTCCCACATCCCTTAAATTAAGGCTGTGGTCTTTTGACGATTGCTGGCAATATCAATCAAAACATTATCATCATCATTCATATCATCGTCTACTTTTATCAATATCATTGATATAAGAAATTTAGCCRTTAGTCTTAAGCTTTGAGSCACATCAATGTTTTTGCGAGATRGACTTTGAAAACAGCTGTTCCGTTCTGTACCTACCTTGAATAAATCCTTTTCAATGGCAGAATTGATGTGACGGGCTTTTGATTTATAACCAAAACTCCCTTTTCCRATTATACCAATAACGCATACTTTATCATCCGCGGAACTAACGAACAGAAGAGATATATATCACCTGATATAGGCTTATATTTACAAATGTAGCTTTCAAGTTTACTRTTATAAATTGGAAATATTTGCTGTTTACTGCTATAGAAAGCCTGAAGTGACAGCTAAGAGACAATCTTTGTTTATTGACACATCTTTTTATGTTGTAAAAATAGCTTACCTTTTCTTTGAATCAATCAAAGTTTCAAAGAATTCAACACTCGCTTTATAAACACTYTTGTCCGCCATTTTGRATTTCTTGTGAATTGTGGGTTCCCTGTGTACAAAACAGGGATCCCAAAATTACCTTAGAACCAGTGAATCCAGTAAATAATAAATAAATAAATGATGAATAATAAATAAATAAATAGTAAATAAATAAATAGTAAATAATAAGCAACGGCTAAACAACGTCATTTAGAATTTAAGAATGGAAAAGAAATAAATTCAAAATAAGACATTGAAAAGATCAGCAAAAATCATCAAAAAAATAGAACTATTCCCGTTGATTAATGTCAAATGTCAAATGGGGTACAACTGCCAGTTTTCCCTGAATTGTAAAAAAATACCCCCTTACATCAGATTTTGGGAGGTACATAAATTTATTCCTTGGGGACATTATTTTACGTGTACAGAAAAGTCTTACGTCACTCAGAGATCTGTGCTCGAACCACGTGAATTGATTTCCAACATGGCGGACAAGTTTCAAGAGTTTGCTGGTCGACTTGGAAAAGCTCCTAGAGGAGTTGGAACTGGCGCTAAGCTTTTAGCAGCAGCTGCTTTAGCTGCATATGGAATCAAAGAATCCATTTTTACAGGTGATTTTATATTATGTCTCTAAAAACGAGCGATTWTGAGGTTGGATTTCTGACATTTTCACTGCACGTTGCATCAGAATTTTCTTAAAATGTCATTTGAAGTCATGAAATAACAAATCTCGTTCTCAGAGATAATATTTTTTAATTTATATTTATATTCTATCTTTCCTGAGGGTTTTGCGTGTAGAGATCGGGATTTATTTTGGGAATTTTAGCTGTTGGTAGTTGATGTACATTGTACATGCAATTTTGACGCACTCTTGCATGAATAAAGGCAATAAAATTTATAAATATAAAATTTATAAATATAATTTTATTAAAGCTAGAAAAAAACATTTGCAGCATTATTATTATATTACTTATGCTATTAAATATAATTGTTATTATTTTCGTAATTATTGTTTTGAATACATCCAATATGTGTACCTTTGCTAATGTTAATTCATTCATTTCTCTCAGTGGATGGTGGCCACAGAGCAATCATTTTCAGCAGAATTGGAGGAGTTCAGAAGACTATATACACAGAAGGATTACACTTTAGGTGCGAAAACCTCTTCAAAAAGACTGGACCTTTTAACCTTCTCTTCAGAATATTATAAAGATATTATTATTATTATTATTAAGCACAAGTAATACTCTTTCCCTACAGGATTCCATGGTTTCAATACCCAATTATCTATGATATTCGATCAAGGCCTAGAAAAATAGTTTCCCCTACAGGCAGCAAAGGTAATTTTATCTCAGATTGGTCCCTGCACCATCTTGAAACCATGTATTGAAAAATGTTGTTTTGGAATCATTTTTAAATCCACTAGGTCTTTAAAAAACCCTGTAAGTAACAAAATTGTTTCATCCTGTCAGATTTGCAGATGGTGAATATTGGTCTCCGAGTTCTTGCACGTCCTGAAGCGAATCAGCTTCCTACATTATACCAAAGACTTGGTCTTGATTTTGATGAAAGAGTACTCCCTTCAATTATGCATGAGGTATTTTGGTCTTCATAATGTTTCAATTCAAACTTGGTGTTGCTTTACTTTACCACAAAATCATTCAATTTTTAGGTTTTGAAAAGTGTAGTTGCTCAGTTCAATGCATCACAACTCATTACCATGCGTCAACAAGTAAGTTCTTCAGATTTGGAATGTTTTCTCTTCCCATGAAAGCTACTATTTTTTTGGTGACACTTGGTGTTTTTAAGCAGAGATTTCATAGCCCTATAACTGAGTTGTAGTGGTGTCTCTCACAGTACATTACATATTATTATTGTTTACTGTATTAACATTGTTATTCTTATTGTTTGATGTTGTTTTAGGTTAGTTTACTTATCAGAAGACAACTTGTAGAGAGAGGAAAAGACTTTCATATCATTCTAGATGATGTTTCTATTGTAAGTCAGCTAGAAGTCAATTCATAAAGCATTAACTGCCCAATTTAAAATAGAAAATTGTAATTCAAAATGGTGCTTACCAGTTTCTTAACCATTTCATTTACTGACAGACTGATTTGAGCTTTGGCAAAGAATACGAAAGAGCCATTGAATCTAAGCAAGTTGGTAAGGAAAAAACTTTTAATTGTGTATTGAAGTTCTATGGCTGCATGTAATGAAATTAAAAAATACTATGAGGACAGCCTGCAAAATATCACTGGAGAAAGCTTCAGTAAGTTGATTATTAAGATGGTTGACATTCTTTGTAACTTTAGCTCAACAGGAAGCACAGAGAGCCCAGTTTGCTGTAGAGAAAGCAAGGCAAGAAMGACAGCAAAAGATTGTACAAGCTGAAGGAGAAGCACAAGCTGCAAAACTGATATCCTTGAAAATCTGAATCTTTGTAAAATCAACATCAAACTCAAATGTAGTTCAAACTCATTGAGCTTCATGTGCWTACCTTTACAGAAATTTATGTAACACTGTTGATGGGACATTATGTAAGACTCTAAACATTTCAAAAGATTAKTTTCCTTAATTTTTTCCACCTYGGYGAAGCATTGAAAGATAACCCTGGTTACCTTAAACTACGAAAAGTCCGTGCAGCTCAAAAGATTGCYAGAACTGTAAGTCATTAAATTAACATTAACAAGAATTTTGTACATCAATCATAATGAACTACATYTAATAAGACTAGTATTGATTTGTGAAAAGATTGAATCTTATTTTTTTGCCATCATGAATGATTGTAATTTTGTTTGAATCAGATCTCTCAGTCTGCTAACCCTGTCTATTTGGATGCCAATGCTTTGATGCTCAACCTSAGAGGAAAGGATGATGATTTTGATGAGTAAGTTAACAAAACTACAATAAAAATATGAAAACCAGCCTCTTTTTATCACTCTTGTGTAAATACTGAAACATGATATTTTCTGTAAAATTTGGTTGGCACATTCTCTCTAATAGCAGTGATGTACACAATAATAGTACAGTGAAGCATAAAATTAAAAACAAAGCCTCATCTTTTGTTCTTCTTTGGTGTTTTTAGCGTTGGGGCAAAGTCTGAAGAAGAGTAAAGAACCTCATTTGTTGGTGAAAAGCAAATGTTTAATGTTAGGGAATACAAGACTGTACACCATGTAGAGATGTAATTCTGTCTGAATGAGTAATAAATCAAAAGAACTTGCAAAATGTTGTAACTTTTATTGCACTGCAATTAACACTGATGAATTTAAAACAAAAATAATATATTTTATTGAAGTGCGCTTGTCAAATTGAAACTTAGGTTCCCTGCGGAGGGAGAAACGTTTTTGTGTTTTCTCAACGTTGTTCCCAGGACTTCTCTGCTTGCTTTTTATTTTGATAAAAAAAGGAGAGAAGCCCTGGGAACYATGTTGCATCTTTCTCCCATGTTGAATTTGATAACACAACTACCATTATTGGTAATAAGTTTTACTTTTATGATATTTTTGTGATCAACACTAGATAAGCAAGAAAATAGCACAGAACACAAGAGATAAGAAAATGAAATAATTTAAAATATCCTCACTTRGTTGAAATGTTTTACAAACAAATCCTTTTCATTACTATCATGCTTATATGGAAATTATGCAAACTAAACATCCAATCAGATGCCTTCTTTCACTTGATTGACAGTCTGAAAGAACTACAATACAAAAGAAATTTTGAAGGTTTTCTAATATACAAAAATATATTAATTTGATGAAATTGAAAATGACAACTTGGCCTTCAGATGTATATCAAGGCTGTTTAAAAATGAATGTTTGAATTATAATAAAAATGTTAGAATTGTGTTAAAACTACATTTCACTTTGAGCACAAAGTCATTTCTACAACTGTCTGTCATGCCACTCAGTCAATGTTTGAAAGAGGTAAAATATTGGCTACAGTTACTCCAACACTACTACGTCTTGTGCTCATGGAGACAACAGATGTCCATTTGTTACTTTCAGGGTCATACTTTTCAATACTATTCAGGCTAGAGCTGCCGTCATTGCCACCAACAGCATAGAGGAAGTTTCCCAGCACAGCCAAGTCATGTGTGCTGCGTCGAACATTCATTGGTGTCAGTGTCGTCCATGTGTTGGTGCTGGGGTCGTAGCACTCCATTGTGTTAAGACATGACAGACCATCGTTACCACCTACAGCAAACAAATAGGTCAGCAGCCTGTCTTATTAAGGACATRCTTGACATTAAACATSTGAARTATATTGCGCACGTTTGTAGAAGAGACAACTCRCATCMGATGAAACAACTTCTATTTATTGAACCAACAGCTAAATATGTTAGRGATCCATGKATTAGAAAAGAATAACAAYCCAATGTCGACAAGAATCAAATTTTATGAGTATTTAAAAACAAAACTTCCTTTGAAAGTGAAGACTTAAGTTTCMAAGTTCATCAATTTTTATGCAAACTTAACAAAGTACTTCATTTGTCATTCATATTTTTCTGAAGATGATCCAACAAAAGGGTTATTTAAAGGCCCGTTTACACTTGCAATTTTTGCAGCCCGATTGTYACGYGACAATCGCCTTAGTTTSSAACATGYTTGAAATTTAGCTGCAACTCGCGGCGATCAAAAATCGCAGGGCTGTTTACAYGTGCGATTTGAGGTGCGAGAGAACAAAGTGGYGATTGTCGCGCAACAATCGCGCTGCAAAAATTGCAAGTGTAAACGGGCCTTMAGTGAACTTACCCACAATRTACAGTAAATCATTYATTACTGCAACACCAGCACTGCTCCTTCTACTGGCCATATTAGCTACAGKTTCCCAAGTGTTGGTCAGTGGGTTAAATCTCTCTACAGTATTGAGATGTGTGCTGCCATCRTAGCCTCCAACKGCATAAATCAATCCATTGAGAACACCGACGCGCACATAACGTCTGATCAACAAAAAATAAAATTGGAGTTAAAAAGGAAATTCTTTTGATAAGAATATTCATATTAGAAATTCTGGATATTAGTGACTTATTATAAAATTCATACACTCACTATTAGTGATAGCCCCTTTCATGTTTCTCTGTGTGCCACCCTTCATTTTCATCAAAGCTAGATGACTGATTACATGTAATTTTTGTAATAGATACCTGTGAATATTATTAGCTTGGTGCTTAGGGCAGAGTCACTTGAACCATGAAATAGAAACTAAATATTTAGTAACTAATAGGCACTATTTAGACACTATAACTGAACCAGAACAGTACAAAGAGATTACTTTGATTGTTATAGTGTTCTCTTGGGTATTGCTTATTGGATCAAATATAGTGTTCTGGTTCAGTGCTAATGACTCTTAGAAACTAATAGTGCCTATTAGTTAGTACTTTTTAGTTTTTATTTCATGGTTCATGTGACTCTGCTCTACCCCCCTGGCTTTTATGCAGGACTATATTGTCTATTAGGTGTGAAAGAAGGTATCTATCATTAACAGATCACTAGTTKACCTTCTAAGATGGCACAAGGTAATATGAAGGAAACTATTACTTCAAAGTCTCATGAAAACCACCCACCCTACCATGCACAAAYCACTACCTTTTAGTRCYCATKACAGCAACTGAAGTCCATTTATCCGTCAGAGTATCATATCTCTCAATACTACTAAGACATGACGCACCATCATAACCACCAATYGCATATATGAGATCATTAACCACTGCAACCCCAAGACAGCTACGCTGTGTTCCCATTGGTGCTACTGGTTGCCATTGGTTACCTTGAGGGCAATAGCGTTCAACYGATGCTAAGTCACTACTGCCATCGTAACCCCCAATYGCATAGATCTCACGATCGACAACTCCTACGCCTACTCTYGCTCTTTTAGTTGACATAGAAGGGATCATGTACCAGCGATCAATTCTTGGATCATAGCACTCACACTCACTATGGATAGCAAACAAGCTCCCACCACCGATTGCAAATAGAATAGGGACTTGTCCGGTAGGGCTACGTGGCTTAGTCCTAGGGCTTTTAAGCATTGATCTTTTTTCTGGTAATAAGTGGTACTTCATAGCCTCAATGAGAAGATCTTTGCAGCAGTCATGATTAGATTTTACAATGTCGTCAGTTTCTACCCGTGTTGTGAGGCATTCTGTTGACAGCAAGGGAAGTCTCACTTGGGGAAGCAACTTGTTGATAAAATGTTTTCGGTTAAGTTTATCATGATTAATCCACAAAACTACTGCGTTGAAAACTTGCTCCTCGTTTTTAACGTTAATGTCATTGCTGGAAATCAACTCCAGGACTTKCTCAGCAGAGAGAAGTAGGAACTCTTCTGTTTGCGAGACATCAACAAAGTGCACCAGTGCAAATTTGTGCGAGGACTCGAGCAAATCTTCACAAGTGTGTGCGTCAGCAAAGGAACGAATTCCTAGACAGTTTGATGGATGAAGCTGCTTTTTAAGAAACTCACAGCAAGCTTGTATAACGCTATTTAACTGAAGAAGACTTGAGGCTGGTAGTAATGTTTGAACATTGTCCTCGCAGACCTGAATAGTTGCGGTATACGCGAAGTCAATCAGCATTTCCATTGCATCTGGGTCTACTTGCTGTAAAGTAACCTCTTTTTGACGGCTCTCTATTAGCTCACTGGTAAACATTGCATGAAAATAAGGCGAACAAGAAGCTAAGACAAGTCTGTGTGCTGAAATCCTTCGTTCTCCGACCACCAGAATAACATCACACAGCTGCGAATTATGTCGCATCATTCTCATCGCTTCAAAGGCTTCTTTTGTGTGTGATGGCGAGAAATGTGGAACACAATCGATCCGAGAGCCCTCTTTCGTTTCTGCTATTAAACTATCCATCGTACAGAGTAGAATCCTGAAGAGGGAAAGGGGATGTTTAGAAAAATATTTCAAATACTCGGTAGTTGATGTCAACTTATGTCTTACCGAAAACAGGTTAGATCTTCAAAACAATCAACACAAAAGCATCAGACTTTCAAGACAGAGCAAAATCTGTAAGTTGACAAGAGGGACTTGCCTTTTTGTGTTTTCTAAGAGCTTTATCTCACCGGAATAAGTTTGTTTATCGTCGTTTTCAATGCCTTCTTCGCTGTTGTTTATCACTAGTCACTAGTCCTCCTCTGCATTGCCACAGGTAACCCGCGTTTACATGAAAACGCCTCTCCTCTGAATTAAAGGACTTTTATTTTCATTGACCATTCAATTATTCTATTCCATTTTTTTTTACTTTACGTTTTTTGATATAAACATGCTTGAAAGGGTTAAAAGAAGTTAATGTTCCATTATGCCGGAATCAAATCAAGACTTGAACATATTTGAGGTTTGGGCATTAGTTGAAAGGCAGAAAGTTCGACTTACAAACCTCAGAAAGGTCCTTATCAACCTAACAATGGTTTATAGATCTACTCCAAATCGTGCATTATATCTGCTGTGCATTATAGATTTGCGGTAAGCGGAGCAGGATCATCAAGAGCTTGGGCTGCCTGTGGATTTACAAGGAAATTGCAAGGCTTCAGTTTGTTCAGTTGCGTTGCTTTAGCAGTGGTCAGCACGGCTGATTTCCYTGTCTATCAGAAAACYTTTCCGAGAACTATAGGAACATATCGTAATAATAATTAGATATGATGAAAAAATTCAAAGTTAAATMATGAAAATTCAGATGCGTGAGGTAGACGATACGCRTGACGATTSAAGTTCCAGTAAGAGCTTTGAAACGTGATGATCAAATWCACTAAAACTAATCTCGATAAAAGGAATACACCGTCTATAATAACAAATTGCAAATACAAAAACAAATACTCTATTTTTAATGAAAATAATGAATAATATTAACGAAAATACCAAGAAATATGGGAGGCGGAAAAAAAGCTGAATCGTGATACGAAGCCAACAAATGACGTCATACMATTACCACATAAATAGMGGATGGGTATTTCATAACACGCCATAGGTCTTTAAAAACCACTTCAAGAAGAATATAGSAAGGTAAGRCAATTCTACAGCATTGCTATTAYATTGACAAATGCACTGAAAATTCTGMAAGTTGTACGCATTTTTGATTGGCTGAAATGCAATAAATTTCTTTGCACTAGAAGTTTATTAGTACAAAATGATAATATGATAGATTTTTAATTTATATATAGATTTTTATATATGATATCAAAGAGGCAAGATTTTGCTGTAACTCCGAGTTTCGTGCTACGCACTCATCAGACAGAATTTTTTATATAGATTTATAATTTTTATGGCTATTTCTAGATCTATATCTATCCCGGGAGGATATTTTACTGTTTCGTCCCTTTATGAATGTTTTGTTTMTAATTTTTCCAATGAATTTTTTCAGCTGCTTATTGTTTTTTATTAAAAGTTTTCCCATAGATGTATTTAGTTTATACGTACAAAAAGGATCGAAAAAGAAGAATTTTATGTTTAAATAGCATACACCATTCGTTTAACTATTTTAACAGGCGGAAATTGGAAACACCCCACCCCTCAMGAGATCGATAACCGAGTATTCTCATTATAAAATAAAACTGGGACGAGAAGTTTTCATTTAAAAACATAACCATTAACCATGTTTAAAAGTAAAGAGACGAAATTCAAACGCCCTGGTCTTACGAAAACCTATTATATTTGAAATGCTCTATCGTTTATAAGGAACGCCTATATACCCGAATCAGCTGAAGACCTGGACGTGCTAAAACCAAAAGCAACTAATAACAAAAGTAGGCTAGTTCTAACACRTCCCATTTCACGCCAAAAGGTCACTCACATGTTTTTCCATTGTCATTGCCAGACAATCATGTCCCTTGGAACACTTTTTCTCGGGGCTGTGGTGATGTTAATGATAACGTCCAGGTGCTCTGGWGACTTCTGCGATCAAGGCCCACCCGGTAAATTTTGCTTGAGTGATTTATCAGGGTACCGCGACTGTGTGGTGGTTAAATATACCATCCAGGAAATCATTAGGAAATGCCCAGCAGGAACAAGGTATAAATAAAGTACACTAGATAATGCAGCATGCTGTATGTATATGGTTTGTCCTTTGGTCTACCCTTACATGTAATTATTTACAGGAAAAACAGAAACCGAAACCATCGCAAAATTAAACCTACTATACTGCCAGTAGTAATGACTGTTCAACTAATTAGTTTAATTTATTCATTAATAATTAATTTTTTTCCAGGTGCAACTGTATGGGTACACCATGTCGCTCCGCCAATCCATGTAGGAAGTACAGGCTGCCTCCGATCATGCCTGATAGCTACCACTATGAATATAACGAGAAATTGCACAGGTGCTCTCCTATAGGATGCAGAACTACGTAAGTCACGAAACTCTGTCACACAATAGCTRCTTGTCACGCTGTCTTAACCAGTAACACCAAGTGAATGGCTGAATAAATGAAAGAAAGAAAAACGATATATACTGCTGAACAAATAAAATGATGAAAAGAACTAACAGAGAAATGTCCATGTTGTATTCTAGGTACAGCCGATTCGCTGTGTGGCGTGACAGTAAAAACCTCAGGCATCGAGAAGATCGCACTATTGGAGGTGGTCATGACCCTCCCTATGAATATTTCATCACCATTCCTTATAGACGAGGAAGACTCTTCAAGGTATTAATGTAATCTTCATTATTGACATCTCTATACCATAGACACATCCATGGATGGATACCTATGTATTAATAACATTTTCTAATATATTATTATAATTATATAAATATATAATTAATAATTAAGACAAATGTCAATGCAGTACATGGTGGATGAATGAATATAACGTTTTTATTTCAGTTCCACATCATTCCCTCGAAGCGCAGTTGCACCAAACAACCAGTTCCAAATGGCATCCTTCCTCCAAAGATCAAAGTCCCAACYAAATTCAAGTTTTACGGCCGCAAATACGTGTACGGCGATTACTGCAAGCGCTGGGTSTGGGAAGAAGGCGGTCGAAATCCTTCAATATTCATTGACACTGAGACTTGGGACACAGCCATGACAATCAAYGGAACGCCCAGAATTGTCCAGTACAGTGCGCACTTTCCAGGAAGCTACATGTCCAAAACAAGTACCAAGATAGAGCGGTATTATTACATGTTTGTACCTGGCGTTCCTGAACAGAATGTCTTCCAGTTRCCMACCTACTGCCGTGTTTAGAAAAMCAAGTTGTCTAATCTCCGTCGCRGTCGGTTTGAAACTCGCTTCATTCCTCTAATGGTCTTATATTGACGATTTCTGAGAAGCGCGGTAGCTTTCAAAAACATCGCAGGCGCRCGGGTAACTWTGGAAGTGGAAGCGGTCCTGCAATATTTTGAAAGCGATCGCGCAYCTCTGCAAATCYTTAAAAAMGTAAAGTRGAGGAATGGAGAAAAGCTCAAAAAGGCTGCGGGAGACAAGATCGCACGAATGGAAAAATGTTATGGCGAAAAGATATTACTAGAAWTTTAAAGTTATCAAATCAACTGAAAATGTTTATAAATTTTTATCATTTAATAGTTTTTTTACACCATCTGAATAAATCTAAATTTAGCATAGTCTSTGTGGTATTCCTGTGTCTCAGTGACACTGGGAACGCAACTCTTGGAATATCTGATTGACAAGTAATAAATACAAATGCATTGAACATAAGACTCATCTTTTTCCACCATTGCTATTTGAACTGAAATAAAAGTCAATTCCTCGCTTTGCAACTCTCCCCTGTGGAGAGCCCTTGGGTCCAGTTTTCTAGTAAAGAAATGTCTGCTTTAATACCTATTATTCTCTTCTGGGGGAGTGGGGACAGTCCTTTCATTTGACTGATGAATTATGGTGAGGTGTTAAAGTCATCTTCACAGTTAAAGCACGTTTATGCTGTAGGTCAGTATAAAGCCTTCAGTGTTTTCAGTAAAAGAAAACGAATTATATGATAATATTATTCAATTTACACATACTGTTTTAGCAGATGTATGTCGGYTCCATTCAGGGGCAGTCACCACAGGCATTGGATATGTCTCTCCTAGCGACACCATGGCACTTGATAAAGCTGTYTGACTTAGTCTCCATGGTGTRTGCACATCACCACCAGGAATGCCTGCCAGTTCTGGTATCCACTGACGAATGTATTCACCCTGAAAAACGAACCAGCAATAAGCCATCATTGCGCTTTATACAGCTTATTATCCAACTGTCTGCTAGTCTCCTTGCAGCCGTGTTTAGTTTCAGTCATGGAGAAGGTTGCATTACGCGTGACTGAAAGTAAACTAGGCTGTGAAGAGACTAACTGTCTGCATTCATTCATTTATTGATCCATCCAGTCGGTTATGCATGCATGTATTCTGCGATGCATCCATTGCCCTTTTGCTCATAAATTCATAATCATTTTTCCATTTATTTTTTCCTTCCATCCATCCATTCACCCATTCACTTCTAGACATCAAACAGTGGTTTAGCACCAAACACCCAGCCCAGAAATACCTTAGGATCATAATCAAGTCCTTGCTTAATCATGTTGAATTTACGGTCTTGTCTTGGATCATTACCWACACCRGCGGAGTATAACCAGTTACCATAGTTACTACACACRTCATGATCAACCTTTAAGAAAAAGAAAAACTTTAGAAAATCTTGTGAAATTTTTTGTTTAATAAAATAATTAGGTTTAAATAATATCTTTCATGAATCAATAAACTTATCGTACTATGAGCAAGTTATAAACTTACCAATAGATATTCAAACCATTCGGCACCCAGCCGCCAATCAAGTTTCAAGTCTTTKGTTAAGAAACTAGCAACATTTTGTCTTCCTCTGTTTGACATGAATCCAGTGGCAGCAAGCTCTCTCATGTTAGCATCAACAAATGGTACTCCAGTACGACCTTCCTTCCAGGCCTTAAAGAGAGTATCATCTTTATGCCAYTCCTGGTTTTTACCTCTCAAACCTGCAGACATAGAAACATCAACGGCTGACATCATATTTACATGTCATCATAATTATTAACATTGAAAAATAAAATAACGAACAATACTAACCACTGAGATGAAATAATCTGTCACCAAATTTACAAGCCACAAATTTGAAATAATCTCTCCAMAGAAGCTCAAAAATTACCCTTGAAATAAATAATAGATTGTGTTACATGAAATGATCTATACACCCTTTTAATAAGTCCCGAGGTATTGTTTTCTCCGCACTTGACGTCAAATTTATTCTTTTGAATTCCTTTTGTATTGTAAAAATTTCAAAAGAATAAATTTGACGTCAAGTGCGGAGAACTCGATACATCGGGACTTATTAAAAGGGTGTATACATGTGAAGCGGCTGTGAACTCAGAGGATGTCGGCGCTATATAAATACCACATATTCTATTATTATTATATTATTATTACATTCACGTAAAGAAATACTCAACTACTCAATGGCAGACCTGTGAACTCACCAATAAGTTGACTGGTTTGATGTTCTTTGTTTCTCGTATCTCTTTACTTCTTCATATATTTTCCTTGGGGATAAGCATCCCAGAGCAAGCCTTTAATATAATAAATATTATAAATATCTGAAATACTCATTAATGATCAATTTATAAATCAGTTGGAGTTGTTGATTAGTTTACGTGATTAATCTTGGTTTTTCATGTGCAACACTGATATTTTATCCATCAGTGCTACATCTTATATTGCCATGTCATTCATTATTGCAACCACAATAACCCACTTAGATAATCCTTTTATTACGCTGAGTACAACATAAACAACACCAACTTTATTAATAAATAAATTAATTTACCATGTTGAGAATTTCGTTGAGTATTCATGACCAATCAAACCGTTTCTRGTTTCTTTGTACTTGGAAACAAGATTCTATTACAAACAAAAATAATTATATTACAACACTTTACCAAATAATCTTTCAATATTATCATGCTTACAGTATCCCAGAGATAGTAATTTAATCTTTGAAGCCCAGTTGTTTCTCCTCCAGTAAATGGGAAAGCTGACCTGGGTTCATCTTTGGATTCTGATGTGAAGGGAGAAAAGACTTTAATGAATGGAAGGGTGAAAAGAGAAAATGGACAAATGAAATAATGAATGGATGGATAAAGGAATAATTGAACAAAAGGATGAATTGATGAACTTATACAATCATGTAATATATCAATGGATAATTATATATAATATCAAAGAGGCAAGATTTTGCTGTTACTCTGAGTTTCGTGCTATGCACTTATCAGACAGTATTCAAAGGATAATTATAAATTTCTTAAAGAATGTACTGAAAAACATTATTGAATGGATTAATGGATGAATAAATGAATGAATGATTATGTGAAATAATGGATGAATGAATGAATGAATGGATGGATGGATGGATGGATGGATAAGTGAATAAATTAATATAGAATTCCAATAATACCTTTGATTCCAAGTTCTTCCAGTGATGGAACCAGACCCTCACTAACAGTAGGAGGAAGTGGTTTGAAAGTTTCTGGCATTTTGATAGAACTTCTGACTCTACTCTGGGCTTCAACTCTTTTCCTAAACTCTGTATATACATCTGGAACTCTAATGACAGAAAAATCAAATACAGATATCATAAAAATTGAGCAGCCTGTTCTCAATATTTTTGTTGACTTAAACCATGGACAAAAGAATGGAAGACCAGGCTATGGGAATGTCACAGGTTATGGTCAACCAGAATAGAAAGTGAAATATTCATTTGAAAGAATGGTTCAGTATTGAAGGCTGTCTTGTGTTTTCTTTTCTAACCTTTTAATTTCAAATGGTAGGTCATCAATATGGTAAAGTGTTGATCCCCATATTTTGTGCACAGGAACCCCGCAGCCTGATTGTATTGCATTTTCTACATCAAGTTCTTCTTTGGTTGGCTCTGATTGAAAGGCAATGGCTTCGACTTTGACAGTTTCACTATTTACTCTGGATATGAGTTCAAGGACAACTTCCTCTGGTTTACCACACCTCACAACTAGATTGCTTTTTACAAAAAAAAAACATTTTAATACATACATGGGATATTCTTTTACTCATAATCCTGTTTTTGATCCCTGATCCCAAAATTTTGTTCAAATTTGATCCCTAATCTCCCATGTCATGACACTGCTTGACACCAAAGGTCTATCACTCAAACTCATTGTCCTGCTTCRGTGTCAACGCACAGCTCCCTTTAAAGATGGCATTGTGACCATGAAAGGAGCATTTGATAAGTAGTCAAAATAGACAATATATTAAATGCATGGGCTCCCTGTATGACAATACATTGATGAGATTTACTGGTGGAGATATTTCTTATGTAAATTGTTGAGAAATATCGTAAAWACACCCTTATTACCTTCTTTTTGTCTTGAGTTGTTCACGTAGATCTTTTACGCTTTCAACAAGGAATTTGGCGCGAAAAGGACCGGTTTTGGGGAAACCGAAGTGCCACGTGCATTTGAAATGCCTCGGATCAAAACAATATAACGGGACGACGAATTCTGCGTTTTTATAGGCCCAACTGAGAACCTAAAATACAAAACAAAACATTACAAAATATTAATTGTTGATTTAGAGAATAAAAGCCTGTGTTGTGTATGCATAAAAATGAAGAATATTCGAGTTACAATTAGCTATTTGATCGATGTTTTAAGATTTGGCGCCAAAATTTTATAATACATTTTTGTTTTGCGTTCTTTCATACCTCGTTATCATGATATCGAAGATCATTTCTTAGAAGACAAATAACAGCCCTAGATTTTGAAGCCATTTTAGTTTATCGAAGAGCTTCTTGAAGTGAAGTTATGTAATACAAAACACAGGTGATTATGACACAGGAAGCCCAAAGTTATCTCGAATCTGAATTTTCTTTTACTTTCATTATAAACATAAAACTTCTGAAAAAGGTCAAGTTTTGAAAATTAAAATTAAGTGATTGCTCATAGAAGGAGATTTCTTACTTTTCTTTTGCATAGTTTTTATTTGCAATAATTAACATCACGTGACCGAAATTGGGCTTCCTGTGTCCTCCGAATTAAGTTTAATGTAAACACGAACTACGCACGGCACGATGGACTAAACTGTTAATTGAAAAGGAATGCACAGGATTCGCTGAAATCAAAACCAATAACAGCGACAGACAATGCCGAAAGTGTCATAAACTTCTCATTATAGTCGACAGGAGAATCGAACCAACGACTTCGTCGAGAAAAACTTTGAACTTCGATCCATGTTTGTTTGCGTTCAAAGAACAGTGTCAAGCACTTCAATAACGATAAGTTTGTACTTGAGATCTCAATTTGAAAACAATTGCTTTGATCGTTTAGATGATGAGGGTAGATGACTATGCCTAGTCAAGCTCATCTACTCGTACTGTCATGATAGTGTTCTCGGCTGTCTTGGTGGTTTGGTYGTCGGTTTTAATCTCGGGATGTTGCAGCGAGTGTGGTGGCGTCTTTTCTCAATCGCATGGCAGCCTCAATTCTCCCTTACACTCCGGGTACAAGATAGGCGAGACTGTAACCTGCGACTACCTTATCCAAGCTCCATATGGTCAAAGAATTAAAATTGTTTTTATAGATCTTATATTAAAGACGCCATGTTGTTCGTGTGTAAGTGATTACATCGAGCTGAGAGACGGGAAGGACGTTAATTCAACACTAATTGGACGCTACTGTGCCCAACATCTTCCTAAAATTGTTTATTCAACGGGGAAAGATCTTTGGCTTCGCTTCAAAACTGATTACAAGACTTCAACTGAAAATCGTTTCAAGTTGACATTTGACACGCCATGTGGACACCATTTTAGTACTCTAGAAGGGGTTTTTGAATCAAAAGGATTCCCTGGGCCTTATACMCCTAATACAGAATGTATATATACAATATCCGTTCCTCGCGGGAGATTAAAGGTTTCYTTTGAAAGCTTTGACATCGAGGCAAGAAGCGTTGTTTGTGAATTTGATTTTCTTGAGGTCAAAGAAATATTATATGTGGAATACAATGCCGAAATTTTAGGATCTAGAACGCGTCGGTACTGCGGGAGCGAAACACCGCCGACAATATACTCCACAATTGGAAGTTTTCTTTGGTTTCGATTYAAAACCGACGCAAATGGACAGCGGTCGGGCTTTAAAGCCAAGTATAGAACGGTATCTGTTGGCGAAGGTAGCTGCAATAAAAAGTTTTCAGTTCCCAAGGGATTAATTTACTCTAAAAACTATCCTTTTCCATTTCCACGGAAGACTGAATGCCTGTGGGAGATTGAAGTTCAATCMGACAAACACGTCCGTTTGAGTTTTGATACTTTCAACTTCAGTCTCAATGCACCAAAATGCAAGTATGGTTACCTGCGGGTGTACGATGGGTTAGGGTTTCACKCCCAGATAGGGCAGTACTGTGGACCACACCTTCCTCAAAACGTGGTGTCCAGGAAGAATACCATGTCATTACAGCTGGTCTCAAGTAGTATAGTAGACACAGGATGGTTTTCAGCACAGTATAGTACATYCAACGAGGGGCCATGTGGAAGCCAGAAATTCACCTGTGGAAACCATGARTGTATTGCAAAATCGAAGCATTGCAATGGAGTGAAGGATTGCCGGGATGGTACTGATGAAATTAGTTGCCCACCCAAAGAAGAGACTCCAACATGGTATAGTTTTTGGCCTGTCACAGTAGTTGTGGTAATGCTGTTTATGGGAGTTTGGTTATGGAGGACATGGCGTAAGTTTATGACCCCAAGAAGTGACATTCAAGTAACATATTGTGCTTCTTCACCATGTCGTCATAATTCAACTGGTGTAATATCAGAGACGGCAGAACCACCAAGCTACCATGAGGCTATTTCCCAACCAGTACATAATGGGATACCGCCGCCATCCTAYGAGGAAGCCATCAACTCACAACCAGCACCATATTTAGAAAATACTTCCAATGAAGAAAGAAGTACTTTACCCAATCATACTGAACATGACAGACATACTGTAAATACACAGATTTCTAACATTCCATCAAGAAATCTACCTGCCTCAAGAAATGATATGAATATTAATGAAGCAGGTCAACCATACACTAGTCACAGACCAACAGACAGAACAAGTGAAGTATAAAGTTGTTTATCATATACACAAGAGTCTAACTATTATAACTGCCACCACTACTAAGTACTTTCTTCAGTTTTTAAAATCACAGCAAGAGAGTAATATTAAAATTCTTGCCGACCATAGAAAATAGGAAGACTTATATTTAATTTAGAAGCAGACTTTACATTCATTATTTCCTTTTGTTCTTTATCAACTAGAAAGTACTAGGCAGTCCTTTACTCTTTACAACCAGTGGAAAGTCACTCTACTACAAGTCCCATCTTTGGTAGTGTTTAAAAACACTGCCGCAGCCTTCCATATCTCTGCATAATATCAACGTTTCACTCAAAACTCTTTTAAGGCACAATTTCAAGACTTTTTCTGAAATACAAATTTACAGTGCATTGTGGTCTAACTTCAGAAAAAACAATGCCATATTTGGCTGCATGGAAAAAAGATGTTTGTACCAAATCTAAGCCACAATGCAATGCAAACTGTTATCTCAGAAAAGACCTATTCTAGAAAGTTCCAAGTTCAGTTCTGGAGCGAAACAAATTCATAAAAACACTATGGTGTTTGTGGTAAAGTGATTGTCAATCAATGATTGTTTCRTTTAAGTCCTTAGAATAACACTACCAGCATGATATATATTATGTTTTACTCTCATTAAACAAAGACCTTTAATATTTAGTTTTACTTTGACTGTAAAATGGGTTTCACTGGASAATGAAATGTTACCTAGTTAATAGTCAAAGTAGACTCTAAGWCCATATTRTTTGTTGAACTGCAGTGTGTGARCATAATGTGTTGTTTTGAGCCAGCTGCACATGGGAAGGAAGATTTCRATTTCACTCAAATATTTTAAAAGTGCAAGAGCTGAGCTAATTCAATTTCCTCAGGARGCAGTGAGAACAGTGCTAGAGTAAAATCTTTGTTCGCATGTGTAGAAGGCTTTAGGGATGGATAAAATCCCAAGTGTGTACAGATTGTACAAAGGTATATATACTGTATACTATTACTATAAAGCTATATGCAATAAAATGACATTTTATAAAACTTCTCTTCTTCTTCATGTTAATTTAAAACTTCTGCCATTTTATGGCTTGGAATGATAGTGCTATTGTTAAATATCTCTTCTTAAGTCATAAAAATTATTTTTCACTTATTTTCTTGAATGATTTTCCAAATAAACCTACAATGTAGATCTTGTTTACAATATTGTATCTTGTCACACTTTTTATAATTTGGTATTGTATGAGGASAAAAATTAGAAGAGTGCAAAATTGTATTTGGATTTGTTATGTAGAAACCTGCAGCTTAGAAGGAGTCTTCAAACTCTTTGTTTCCATGTTATTTACTAGTACATTCTAAAATTAAGCACAATACTTTTAATAAATGAAAATAAATCCATCCAAGTTAATCTCAAATCTTTGACTAAAAGTACGGTGATGACTTTGACCAAACTATCTGGCTATAAAATCAAATACTTTTTCTTATTTTTTGTAACTTCAACTTTAAATTACTATTAARTATTAAAAATTTATCTGTTTTAGTGTGATTGAAAGAGCATAAATTATTAATCAGAACATAACTTCCACCAAAATATAATTATGTTTTGAATAAAGACATTGCATTTTTATGAGAATTGAAAATTCACTCTGAAAGAATAAAGGTGAGTTATATATGATATGAGATTAAATTCTCCTTAAATAACCCCTCCTACAAATGACACTTTTAAATTTGTAATCAACAACTGAATGATGATTATCAGTAAATATAAACATAGCAATTTGGCGTATCTCTGACTGCATCAGTTTGAACTACAGTTTTGTTGAATAATTTGCTCACTAAGCTTAATTGAAGATATGAATAATTCACTGTTTTTAAAAAAATATTCTACATTTTAAACATAATTATTGCAAAGGATTTTGCAGGTGTGTTTGCTAATGCTTTGACTTGCTTGGGTGTTGTGCAAATTGAATAATTATTGTTTATGATATTGCTTATAGATGATGATGATAACAACTTGATAAACAAAAATGGTTACATGAAGTGATGTTTTATCATCTATAGAGCTTAAAAGTTGTACTTACTTTTTATCTTCACTTAATTTTCTTATCCATTTTTTTGCCAAACTGACTTGCCATTTTGTGTGGAGCTGKAAAATGCATTTATTTTTGTCAAACCATTGATAGAAGAATAAAATCACTCAAACACACTAAAAAAACCTCAATTTTGTGAAATAACTAATTTTTTTATACTTATAATCTTGTGTTTTTGGACGTTTTTGTTAGAGCTTGTTAGGAAAGATGGTTCCTCCATCTTGTCCAAAGAGAATGAACTTACCTTATACCGCAATGCTTTGCGCGCGCGATGAGCCGAACCAACGGACAAAAAAGCGCGCGAAAATAGTAAATGGTTAAAAATATGTATAAATATACTTTCAAATATCACAGAAATCTACCTTAGAGAAGCTGCACTTGAGCTACTTCGTTACGTATGACAGAATTTTGTTTTTGGGTACAAATTTCCAACTTTTTGGCCAGTAATTTCTACTTGGTCATCATGCTTTGCGAGTAGACTTCAGCCCAGTCTATCTCCGTCACGAGCGAGGGTATAAAAGCGCAGCATTGGCCAAGTACTGCCAGTCCTTCCAAGGATGGAGCGAAGACAGGWTCTCAACAAGATATTACRTGCASTCTTGRATGAAGTCGAGGTACAGAGCTTTACAATTGAYGAACAYATTGGTAAGTTCTCCTTCGCCGCCAAAGAAAATATTCGCAAGGTAAGTGGCTTTTTCTGATTGGGCAAGGATTAGGGGACACAGGGAACCCACCAATTAGCACAATTGGGCATTAGCACATTAATTCGCAACTTTTTTTCTCTCCCTCTCTTTTTTTTCTCTTTTTTACTTTTTCCCGGTCTTCCTGTGTCTGTATCCTGCCCGAACACTGCAGACGCAAGATCCTCAATCATCGGAGCGGAGGGAGGGGAAAAAGCATGTTTCTCGGTGGTATTGTGTCGTCTTCTTCGGGTAAACTTGTTATTAAAATCATAATTTGTTTTGAAAATGAAAGTTTCAATAAATTCTACGCGACACGGAAGAAGACGCTACTTCTTCATATATCTAGCGGGGAAAACTTGTGACGTCATATGACGCAGCCCCTTGGGGGAGTCCCCTCAAAATACACATCAGAAGTTTTCGATTGTGATTTGTACCCGTTTTCTCCAAAAAACAYTCATTTATGGAGCCTGAAATTTATAGATTTCGKCTTAAAAAGAATTATGAAACTATACTAAGAGATTTAGAACCGAAAAAACTCATTGGTTTTTTATATCAGGATGATATTTTCGATGAAGACGACATGGACGAAGTTCGCAGTGAAAAGACTCGAAAGAAACAAGCAGTCCAGTTCTTGGAAACTCTGAATACTAAAGACGTTGCTGGATATGCTGTTTTAGTCAAGGCTCTCGAAGAAAAGCAGCCTCATTTAGCAAGAATATTGAAAACCCCAGTTCGTGATGAAAATTTGATCTTACGGYCATCAGGTAAACTTAAAAATATTGAATGATTTTGCTCAGCTGTTTCTGTGTGCTGACTTATTTTTTAGACGAATTGGAATGTAATCTTTCTCTTGTATGTTATCTGTCGATATTATTAACGCACTAGATTGTGATACCGTATGTTAATCTCTGTTTAGATTCTGTGACTTTGTCTGATGCATTATTTTTGTCATGTGACTTTTAGTTGTTGTACACGGTGTACTCTGATATATCTCCCTACAAATATTGCATTTCTTTGAATTATTGACATTTGTCCTAATTCCTTTAAAAGCCATTTGGAAATATTCCTTTCTTTCTTTATTTTAGGACCCAAACATTCAGGGCAACCAATCAGTATGGAACAACTTACAGAGATGCTACGTCACCAATCTAACTTGAATCCCCAATTAGCAGAGTTGATAGGAGTTGCACCAAGTTATGCCAATGACCCAGTAGAACAAAGTGAGCAAAGTTCTCAACATCCTCATCACACAACAGAGAGTTGTCAACCTTTTAATTCATCAACAGATGCTGGTCTTCCCTTTAACATCAAACGCACAAATTTTCAATTGATATCACCCTTATACCGACCACACTTGCTTGACTCTGTGTACAAGATGACTAGCTCACCGCGAGGACTAGCTGTGATCATTAACATWATGAACTTTGAACCTGATCCAAGTAAGCAATGTAAGCATGATGAGAAACTTGATTCACGAGAGGGATCCGAACTCGACTTGCATGCTCTAGGCCAACTCTTCAGTGGTCTAAATTTCAGGGTAATGTCAATGGAAGACAAGAAAGAGGATGAAATTCGAAAGGAGCTCAAGGGTATTGCCAAGAGTGACTTAAGTCAGTATGATTGCTTCGTTCTGTGCATTATGAGCCATGGGAAAAAGAATTTCTTCTACAGTAAAGATGGAGGGAAAATCAAAATATCAGAGATTAAAAAAATGTTCAACAATTCAGAATGTGTTTCTCTATGTCAAAAGCCAAAGTTGTTTTTCATCCAAGCTTGTAGAGGCACAGACATAGATTTTGGTCACATTGTGAGTGATGCACCTTCTGAGCACAATGAGAAAGAAAAAGGAATTGAGGCAGATGCACCAACTCACACAGTTCCAAAGAGCGCACAACAATCAACATCGGACAATGCTCATTTCCTTTTAGCATACTCTAGCGTGGAGGGGTACACTTCATACCGCAACACCAAAAGAGGAAGCCGCTTCATCACCTGTCTYGTAGACGTATTCAGAGATTATGCAGGAGTTGAGGATGTTGAAAGCATGATGACAAGAGTCATTAAAGATGTCAACAAAGCTGGTGATATATCTACAAAGCAAGTTCCAAAGCCAGAAACAACTTTGACCAAAAAAGTGTTTTTCTGGCCAGGAATGCAAAATTTCCACATTTAAATATATCATATTGAGAAGAAAACATTTGAAAACCACCACACATTTTATAGTGGACAACAGCAARAAAGAGAACATTTTCCTTCCTGTTATCAGTGACAGACTGCTAGTATCACTKTGGAATGGTGTCATTGATTATAATATTAAAAGCCCACCAAAACATAAAATTCAGGATGTGTGCAAATCAATATTATCTAGCAAGAGCAATTGGATAGCCAATTTGTGTACTTTTTTATTAATTCAATCTTCTTTGCGTAAAATATACCAGATCAAAATGCTGAAAATGTAAAAACTCTGAAAGACAATAATATAATTTCATAGCAATAGCTCACAATATAATTCACATTATTTCCTTGCGTCAGGTATTAAATAATAATCCWCTTTAGTTGACTATTTAACAGTAGAAAGAAAGGATTCTGAAAACCTTCCTCAGCAATTTCTTCACACAAAAATCCAGTACTTATTTACAAGTACTTTTTAAACACATAACTTTATTTTTCAATTAAGGGTCGACGTTACTGTTTCTCTGGTTTTAAACTATGATTTCCATACACTCTTCAAGGAGTATTCCAGGTTTTATAGAGGAGTTCTTTAGCATTAACACCATGTATTGTAGACAAGTGGTGAATTAGAAATAAATTATTCATTGTATGTAATTTGAACAARTATGTAAAAAAACGTTTTATTAGTTCACAGTTACATTGAAGTAAAACTTCGTAACTTGAAACAGTGTTTTAAAACATTAATTACTTCTCCTTGAAAATTTCTTGCACTACACTGCACTACAATATCCGATACACCATATTTTTTTACATTTTTACTGGCTTTACAGTGTTCAGACTAATTTTGATAGACTAAAAAGAAGTGTTAACAGTCCAATACTCAAAAAATCTATGCATAGCATTGTATTATTCAATTGACAATGATGTAACACACAGAATATAATACAATGTGACAGATTAATGGACGAGTGTGCTCAGAGATTGCGTTACTCATTAGTACACCAAGTGAAATTTCACGATATATTTACTACATCTGTACATGTACCTCAAAGGACGGAAAACTGGTAATCAGGTTTTTGTGTGATTGATATTATCAAACATTACCTCCCCCAGCCCCCATTCCTTCCCCTCCCTCTCCCCTCCCCCCAAAAAAAAACAAAAAAAATAAAGTACAATTAAACTCTTCAAGTAYCAAAACATCAAGATATTGACAAGTGCAAAACAATATGACCAACACAGTGAAGAACCTCAACTCTTTGGAAAGAAAAACACTTTTCTTGTGAGCATGATMACAGGGGCTGGCATTTGTTTCTTTTTGTCAGAAGATTCAAATTCTAAAGCGACTTTTCTATTAATCTTAATCAACATACTAGCAACGTCCTCATTTACAGAATGTTGTCTAAACACRTCAACTAGAGCCTGCACAAACCAGGAACCTTTGTCTGAATGTCGCCATGACACAAACCCTGGAACAGTKGAGTAAGCAATGAGGATATCAGCTTCTGAGGGAAGTGACTGCGGGGCYATAAAACCACTGTCTGCCTCCTCGCTTGGGTAGAGCTCTTCTAGCACTTCTTCCACAGGCTTTTCCTCAAGTGGAGAACTTTCCAAGCCATCAATTCTTTCAAACGTAATCCCACGGTCAAAGTCACCACCCCTGCAAGCTTGGATAAAAAATAATTTCGGTTTTCCGATCAGCGTTTTTGCATTGTATCCATTGAACATAGACACAAGGTCATTTATTGAAACTAGACCTCCATCAACACCATAGATTCTTCCTTCAAGACCATGRCTCAGCATACATACTATAACAGAATCATAACTGCTGTGATCTTGCTTTGCAAATCTCATGATAGTATCTTTCAAGACTCGAGCTCTTTGGTTCTCGACCACTGTAACTTTATATTTTAAGTAGAGAAACAAGGATTGAAGGTTGCGGGCATCAACATGTGAACCTTTCCGATTGGCTAACCCACTTTCTGCTTCAAATGTTGCATTGTTGACAATAAGGCATAAACCATGTGGCTGACGATTCATTGGATAGGTGTCCCCCTCGGGGGTGGTGACCTTTTCTTTTGTATTTCTATCAGGGGTGCCCAGGGGTGGTCTTGGATTAACGTTGAGTCCAATATTTAACCCTTCTGTTTGGTTTTCACTCTCTGTGGGATTGGTGTTTGGGGCTTTATTTGGTGGATTTGATGGGAATGGTCTATTGCTACTTCCAGCTTSTGGTTGTTGTGTTTCTGAAAATAATGTGGAAAATTTCTAACAATCTGAAAGAATTCTCATTTTGGGGGATTATCACTAAGGTAGCCTGCTTTACATCTGGTTTTATTTACCAAAATGATAGCCTGCGACGCATCCGGTCTCAATGTAACACAGGAACACCAATGCATATTTCACATGCCTCATACATCATATTTAACGCAACCTGTTCAAAGGATTTGTTTCTGTTGAGATTCTCTCAATAGTGCATGCATGTCACATTTGCCTTATGAAAAGGGCCTACAGGGACGACAGTGCAGTTTTCAAAATGACGGACTTAAATCTTCTTTCCGTCTCCCTCCCTCCCTCTTTTCCTCTTCTTCAAAATTCATGAATAATTGACCCTGCTTTCAACCCTTCATACAACTGGGCCCAGCTCTATACATTATCATAGGTGGGGGATCCTCCCATTTGCACACAAATATGTAATTTGAAGACCCCTTTTGGTATAGAATTTAAACTGTTTTCCACGGCAAAAGGAAATTTTTGCAAGCTTGATATATGGTTGAATGAAATACATGGAACACGGTAGATAAGAAGTGTAATAAGTAAACAAAAAATACGTGTTSTAATAATTGCTTACTATTCATTTTTTTAAAGGTTACACTCTGCTAAGAAAATATTACATACAAACCAACCTTGAGTTGAAATATTGCACTTTAAAAGAAAAGCTAAATGACTCTGATCTAACAGCAAAGCTTTGTAGAAAGCATCGAATGCACTAGGACCTCGCCGAGGTATTGTATCCAAGATCTTCTCGGCCTTTTCCTGTCTTGTAGTGAGGCCTCGAACGACCTCAACATCATTTTCGCYGAATATTCCTTCTTGATATAGGTAGTTCAGCACTGGTCGGGGCTCCAAGTCTTGAACTAAAGCCAGCCTGTTTTTTCTAAGCAAGGTCCTATGTTCCTTATTCATTTTTATAGCGTAATTTTTGATTTTTCCGGGAAACTGTCAGTCAGACAACAGGCTTTCCCCGAATAAACATTTTAACTCGAGTTCCGCATGCGCAATATAACAGCACAGGAAGACCGCAAAACGAGGACTACAGAATTTTAAAATGGTGGGAACTAGCTGTAAACTAGTGTGAGCTGCGTCGGTAAGTTATTTTACATACTTTTTACATAACTGTTTCTACAGAATTTTATTCACAGCTATAATAATAATAATAATAATAATTTACTGGTAAAATAATTATTGTGACGTATCATTTATTCATCATTTTATTTTACATCTATTTATAATAAAGGTTTAATATAGCGCTTATAATCCCAGTAATTTTTCCCATTATAACCCGTACATCCTCCACAAATTTCCCATTAAAAGTGCTCTCTTTCTCAAACACAACCCTAATCTCGCGGCGCAAAGACTTTAGAAGCTTCTGAGCATGCGCAAAGCAGGGTATCTCGGCACTGCTCAGCCGAAACACGGTCTGGTTGAAGTCGCTCTCCCCCTCGTTTAAATAAGGCGTTATAAGGTCGTCGCAGTTTTCTTTGGCTGAGCGGAGGATTGGGACCCCGCTATTCCACCTCTCTGTTTCGTGAAAYACTTGGACCCAGTCATTCACGGTTTCCAGGACTAGTTCCAAGTCTTCCCTYTGGCGCTGGAGTGAAACAAAGCGCTTCTCCATCCCTGYGACGATTTTCTGAAGYCCAYTTTTTTGAGTGTCAATCATCTTCAGTGACATCGTTGTGCTAGATTCCATGCCCTCTCCTGTTATCCCAAGAAGGCGACAGCATGGTGATGAGGAATGATCTGACGTCATYGYTCTGTTTTCTGAAAATRYATGTCAACCTATCAAAATWGTTGCAGTTTTTCGAGCACAAAGCCTTCAGTTTTAGATGTTTTTTGGGCAGYCAGCCCCCTTTCCATCCTTTCTTGGTCTGCCCCTGCTTCCTTATAGCGACACACCCCTATCTCTTCCCTTCTTTTCCCCTCCCTTCGTTTTCCTCTCCCCTAGAACAACAAACAAATGAACTCGTTATCTGAATCAAACTTTAAAGTTTGCAAATTTTTTTCTGGAAATGGATCAGAAAATAGATTATGTCGTTGTATTCCATTCCTTAACCTTTGAAACACTAACAACTGTCGCGCCGCGTGTAAAAATGATCATTTTAGATGCACAAAATTATCTTTATTRAGTAAACAATACGCGCGCTTTTGGTTGAACTTGAAATTTATTAAAACGACAAATCTGCATCAACAAGTCAGTCTCGAAGCCTTCCGTTTTCTTGTATAAATAGAAGTGAACTTTCAAATAATACAGCGGCTTTATTTTTGATATGTGTTTTTTAAGGTTAATGTATTTTGCCTGAAAAATACAAAATATGTTATACTATTATCATACAGGAATAGCTGAGTTGTTTTTTCGGGTTCTGGATGTTATTTTACAATTGCCCAATGGTAGTTGATTCATGTGCTTGAAAATTAACAAAATGGCAACACTAACTATAACATGTGTTTAAATGGATTGCAAATATCACACTGTGMGTTTCATTTTCCTGTATTAAAACACTCTAGACTGTTTGCTTTAAAGCCAGCATATYGGTCAACTTTTGGTTATTCGCAATATTCGAAAAATGAGATTATTTTTCAAAAATTAWTTTTTTTCAAAATGGYRCGCGTGCAAAAAATCCAGGACAACTTGCGTCGAACATGTTTCACGTATTATACTAAAAATGTATSATTTCCTTCTTTTCAATATCAAACTTGCATACAAGATAAAATGAAGATAAATTTTATAATAAGCTATTTTCAAGATGTTGGCCATTTCTGTGACAAGTTCCTTGCTACAGTTGCTCTGGCTGACCGCAAATTCTACTTAAAAATTACTTTTTCTGTAAATTATCGTTGTCTCCTATAAGAAAACCAAGATTTTGCCAAAAAATGTCCGCATCAAGAAGAATTACTCACCTAAATTATGATTTTCGTGGTTTTTGTAGATGCASTAGGTTTTTAAGGAGCTGCTGGGGAACTTCATACAGGACAACGCCTTTTTAATTTGAAGACAGATACAAACGGAAAATTTATCAAATGTTTTATTCATAAAACGTCTGACTTATACGTTGTACAAATGCGCCAATTAGAGAGTGGAAATAAATTGSAAAATTTATAATATCAAGTCACCGAAGATGAAACCGAAAAGCGAATGAGAAATGAGAACTACTTCAGTTATAATTTTATGGTTTATATGCTGTCAATTTTGTGAGTCAATGGTATACTGACACCTATTAGTACAAGGTACACTTAGAGCAAGCGCTTATTGAAATATTCAAGAATGATGAGAAAAATACTCTACTAGAGAATATCCAGTCCACCAAAACAATTGCAGACTTTGCCTTTTTAAATATAAGGGAAATACAACGAGATACATTACACAGTTTTCATTTGGTTTCCATATCCCTTGGCGGCAAAACACTGAAAATTACAAAAACAGTTTTTCTCACATTGTTCCTGTATCCAGTAGTTCCTCCTGAATGCTGATTGAAAATGATCCATCCCAAGGCTTAAACTCTAATCCCTGATGATCCCCAAAACAGATCCTATTTGAGGTGACTTGATCCTTGATTCCCAGAATACCTTTGATCCCTAYTTTTGTCTCATTTTTTKRAAWTT